AGAGGGCGTCAACAGGTTCCCCCTCTCTCTCACAGTGGCATCTCACACCAATCCCTTCAGGGGGCGTCAAAAGGCCTCCCCTCCTTCTTCATAGTTTACCTTCGCATACCGCTCCCGCAACCCTTCAGTCAATGAACGCTCAGCAGCGTGCGTGTGGCTAGACTGGCCTCGGTTTAAAAATCTCGCTCAAAGAAAAAAAAATTATCTTCTCTTTTTTTTCTTTTCTTTGTTTTCTTCTTCCCGACAACAAACCCCTACGTCGTCTGGAATTCGTCAACGAGATTTTCGTCAAATAGTCATTGAGGTTGGTCAATGATTTTCTGCACTCTGTCACCAATTATCTGTTCTGATAAAAAATGTTTCTATCATGGCCAGCTCTGACATAAAACAGGTGTTTTTCCCAAATGATATCTCCGCAGATAGTTAATCGTTTAATCCTTCCTTCTTTTTAACTTGTGGGTGGTCCAGCTGACATTTTTCTCGGTCAGTGCGTGAACTAATTAATATTATCTCTTAGCATTCTGTTTTGTAGGCGACTTGACCAATTTGAAATTTTCATTATTGCCATGGGCAGACGGCTATCTTTTATTCGCTCCGTCGTAACATAAATCAAATTAAATCCGACAGATCCGAGATCTTACTTTCTTCGCTAATGAAAATAAAATCTTTACCACTTTTCTTTGTTAGAAAAAATAACATCGCTCAGTGTCTTTTCGTGATAGCTTCTTATCACCTAAATTAATTCTCGCCTTTTTTCTTCTTTTTTTTTCACGCAACCCTAAATAGTGTCACAAATGCATCTAAACAAAAATAATGTTCAGCTCCATTAGACATTATAAAATACTCTTTAAATTTCGTTCTTTTTTACCAAAAAGTTAAAATTCGGACAGAACTTATGGGATGACCTGATAATATTGTATAATAGAAACGCTTTAGGAAATAAATTGTCACAACTGTTCCTCATAATATATTGGGGAAACACGCGGGAAAAAACGCATGTATGAACGTAAAATATGATCTTATAGATAATGTCTGAGCGCTGTTTTCCGATTATGACTTTCTACTAGAGTGGATAGACAATCCCTGCTGTAGATGCTTATTCAGACACAACTGTGTTTATCAACACTCACAGAGACTACCTGTGGTCTATGCTGAGCGGACCTTAATTAAAGATTCTGGGGGAGAGTGTATTATCTCGCAGTATCAAATTTTGAATAGTGCCAGTAATCTCAAACCATCGGTCACGATGGTTTGTTATTTCATGCTAGCATAACCATCGACGGGCCCCAAATAATTAAGCCTAACCAATTTCATTCACAATTTCAGGCACTTTCCAAACATACCACATACTTGTATCACCTCCTCAGGCATATAATATCAAAATGTCTCCTTCCTGACAGTCTTCTGAATAGTGGATGTAATTTCTGCAAAACAGAGAACATAAATGTACGCTTACTTTCATGTGTGTGCGTGTTTATACATATATATATATATATATATATATATATATATATATATATATATATTATAAAAATATACCTTACATTGATTAAACAAGTTCCATGCCAACGCAATTTTCAAGTGCTGATACTTTTGGGGGTTAACACATTTTTTTTGTTTTTTTTAAATATTTCTGGTGTTCGCGAGATATTTTATTGTTGGGTGGATTATTATTGTTGTTAAATTATTTAAATGAACTGTAGTTTAATTTTGGATTTGAATTTAGACCAAGATTAACATTCGAGAATGAAAATAAGGTTGGAATAAGAATAATAAATTATAATTTAGAGAGAAGCTATTGTTATCAAAAGGAACAAACAAGAAAAACATTTTGAAATCAAGTGGGGTAACTCAAAAAAGTAATTACTAATATTACTAACATTCTTATAAATAAACTTCATAAAAGTAGTGATTGTAGTTATTTGCATTCATTATTTATTTATTCATTTATTTTTCTATTATTTACATATTTATATGTTCGTATTTATATGTCTTTTATTTTATCTAATTTTATCTTATTTTATTGTCATTGATATGTATTATTTTTATTAGTAGTTTAATTTTAATTTTATTTTAACATATTTTATTATTATTATTGATATAACTACTTTTATTTGGACAAAATAACATGAGCGACCGGTTTGGTGAGAAATACTACCTTTTTGGGAAATACTATCTATCTATCTATCTATCTATCTATCTATCTATTTATGGGTTGAGAGTGCATACTGAGGAAACATATTACTCACCATCAATGCGATGTCTGTCATTTGATCTCCTTAAACGTTCAGCAAACATTGATAATTCCTGTGATGAGGAGTTATCGTTATTTACATTATTTAATCCATGGAAGAAAACATTGTGGATTAAAGGGTTGTTTCGTAAATTTGATGAATTTAATTGAGAATTCAATACCTGGGCAGCTTAGTGCAGATTGGTGTTCAACTTTAACAGGTTGAGCAACAACTGAACAATGCTAAATACAGAGCTGGATGAGACATGAACTGCGGACGAGAACAATGTACCCGCTGCGCTAAAATAAAGGGTTCCGTTCGAAATTCCTCCAACGGTGGCTGAACAAGCTAATGGGGTGCAGCGGTTGAAACATTGTGATAATAACAAAGATTCTCATGTTAAATCATTTCCGTAAGAGTTTGTGAAGTGGATCGGGTCGATGTATTTTCATCCCTACGGAGGCATCATTTTTACGTATGTTTTTTAACTTTCAAACATAATCTTTCTTTCTCATTCAACCATCCGCACACATGAATAAAATGAGAAACATTAATCTATATAAATATTTAGAAACCTTTGACACGTCAATGTTTTTCTAATGTGGATTGAACACTCACTCTACACTTGCTCGACTATAAGCGCCCAGCCTAATTTATATCGCATTGAAATATCATGAGGAAACAGTTACGTTCACGGAAAGAACTCCCATCTTTCTAATTTTATGAAGACGTGCAAACAGTTAACTTTGCGTAGTATATATCTTTCTTTTATGTCGAAACCAAGCGGTCATTATTTTCTTTCTCTCATATTAAATTGAGTTTAGTTTAAGAGGAACAATTGTTTAGACTCTGGCAGTAGACACGTAATTCTTTTCTATGAATGCAACGATAGAATAAAGGACGTTTATCCAAGAGAGTGAATCTTTTCAGAAATAAACGTTCCATGTTAACATTGTTGTTGAGAACAGCGTGACAATTCCAAGAAAATGAGCCAAGGAAAATTAAACTGATAGTAAGAAATGCCGATTTTATGTATATATAGTTTTGTGAAAATGATATTGGTGCACAAAAGTCAAAACGCTAATCCGAATAGAAAAAGGTGTTTTTTTTTTAGTTATATAAGCATTCAACTCTAGTTAATAATCTAAGGTCCCATTAGTGAAGAGCGTAGAGAGATCGAATTCATAACTTCAAGGACAAACTGAGAACAATCCTGCTAACTATAACTATTAAGGTGGTCTCTCATGTTTTTTTTTCTTTTTTTTTCTATTAAGCATTTTTTAATATAGTGCAAAAACACACCTTGGAGAGCGTACTCGATGGACAACAATGGCCGACCAGAAAAGCTTACTTTAAGGCAGGCGCCATTTCTTCAATGAGTTTAGTCTGACGTAAGGTTATAATAAATTTGCGCAACGGTGAGTGAATTTACTGCATTAACAAAAGCCTATAAGACAAGCTTGACAAAGCTCACTTTAAGACACATTTTCCGTGTAAATCTTGTCTGAATTAACTGAGTAAAACACAAGGATATATTAGTAGCTCACCTAGTGAAGAGTGAACTTGAAAATAATAGCTTATGTAACTACATTTCCATTGCTATACGACAGGAAACCAACGTGAGTGCAAACCTAGGTAACATTAAGTCAATAACTGCTGAAGTCCATTCGTAGGATAGTCGGACATGCGCATTTATGAGCTTCTGGGACAATTTCATAGTCATTTTAATTTTTGTCAGAATTTCTGGGATGAGGAGTTATCATTATTCATACTATTTATATTCGGACTATTGTCCTCATCTTTGTTGCTGTTATCAAAACGTTTCGGCCGTTGTGCCTTCATCAAGTGTATACCGATCTGGGTAACCTACGAGTAACTCTGAACTGCACCCTTTATTTAATCTACGAGGGTAGGCTATTATCGTTCCACTACTCATGTCAACGGATATCGTCTAGTTCTCATTTTATTTAGTACTGTTCAGTTATTGATTGTTCAGTTATTGCTTGCCCGTTTTCCGCTGAGTATAAGTACACACTGCCCAACCCACGAATTGAACTCACAACCATTATTTCATCAAATACACAAAATAACGTTTTTATCCATTAGAACATAGTCACTTATTTCTTTCCCATGAATATGACGAGGGTAATTTGCTGTAGTAATCTCAGATCTTTAAAATTAACCTGGTTGCTGGTGAGGTTGCAATTGTGCTCCTGGCTGTTATGTTTTTTTTTTTTAAATCTATGATATAACTTTGATTCTAATGTTAAATTTTTTATCAAAATTGCAGAAATAAAACGCACCCAACAATAAGAAAATAAAAAAAAAAGATTTCTGCCAAATCTAACATTACTTTTTAGATGAAATTCAATTTTTTTTCAAACGAATATTTTCTAAGACATTCTTTTGTAAAAAAAAAATAAAATAAAATAAAAAAATAAAAAATAAAGCACATATAGCATTTCATTTATCAACCGATGTTGGTAAACATTTCTGGATATACGATAAACATAGCATGTGGATTTCAGCCACTTTCCATTCTTAATAGAGCTCAAAAGCATTTTCGCTGTTTTGTGTGCGGAAGGGGTATTCCTTCCCTCTGCAGTCTCTTTCTCACAGACTCAACATTGCAAACTTATGGCTATGCTCTCGCTAGGTACTTAAAAATGTTCTGATGAACTCTATTGTTTACTTCTAACAGTTTATATATTTACAGATAAGACATGTCATGCAATTTTAACGAGATCAGCTTACAGCCGCATCACCTTAAAACACCAGATCCCGTATGATCACCGAAGTTAATCAACGTCGAACCTGATTAGTACCTAATTGGGTGACCGTTTCATAATACTAAGTGTTGTAAGCTTGTATGTGCGGGTGGTGTAATGGATAATGGCTCGGAATTGTTAATCGACGAGCCGTGTTCCAAATCCTGTGTGATTTGCAACTATCCTTGTGAAATGTGTGAATCCACCTCTTCTCCCTTCCAGCTATGGGTTAATTAGTAAGACTTGTTTCATTAAACCATTATTATCTAAAAACATTCTTACAATGTAAAGATATTTTCTGGCTTTAAATAACCTGCAAAGACATAGAAAACGAGTCAATCAAATACTGATTAGCTACACAGGCATATATTTTAGATTTATTTAAATTCCCTAAAATATAAATATTTAGAAACTATCGTGGCCACAAAGAGAGTTGTCATTTTATATATTGATTGTAATATAGAATTGATACTCCATTTTATATCCATATTAAAATTTCTTGCTTGTTTATCAAATTCTGATTAGGTGTGAATCCACCTTTTCTCCCCCAGTTGAGTGTTAATTAGTAAAACTTGTATCACTAAATTATTATTATTTAAAAAAAAATTCTTACAGTCTAGAAATATGTTCTGGCTTTAAATAACCTGAAAAAGAATCAATCAATTTAACGAGATAAAATCCGCATCATTTCCTCCGTATTACAGATTTAAGAAGTAACTTCCATACAGCGATCTTTTTTCAAAGAAATGAATACACTCCGACCAAGATGCTTTCCAGAATACTTCAATCGTAACATTTTCAACAAAAGGTCAAACTTTATCTATGCTTCTTATCCTCATACACTTCCTTCAACCTCCTCTTTCACGAATATCACGCACCAAATTCATCATAACCATTTTAATATTAACCCTTTACCTTGAATAGCTTTTGCGTTGGAGGAACTTTAGTATTAAAAATATTCATTTCTCTTATCTTCAATGATTTATTTGTTGGTACGATGTTTTATTATACAACAGTAAAGTACTAAATAAATACAGCAGTCTTGTTGTAGATATCTATCTTTATTTTGAGATAAAAATTAAAATGGGATTTCTCCCCAGATATATTCAACTTCTACAGCGACGCTATCCTAAGGGAAACCCTACTAGGGTCAATTATTGTTGGGCGTAATATGAACAATATCAGATACACAGATGACACTGTTTATGGCCGACACGGAAAGAAAACTGCAAGACTTCCTAGTAAAGGTGGTAGAAGGAACCGTGAAAAAAGGACTAACCATCAACTGCAAAAAGACAGAAATTAGGGCCATCAAGCAAGAGAAAAATACCAACTCATGAGTTACGAATTAGAGATATAAACATCAAGCAGGCGCTGAAGTTTAAATATCTGGGAAGCGGTTTAGTAGAGGATTGGAAATATGACGCCAAGATTCGGACATACATTTGGAATAGTAAAGAAGCCTTCCAAAAGCTAAGCAAGGTACAGAGAAACGGAAACATTTCGTTAGAAACAAAGAAAAGAGTGCTAGATTACTATGTGATATTCATCCTCTTATATGGTAAGGAATGTTGGATAATTTCTCCACCAATGAGAAAAAATACTAGAGGCAGCAGAAATCTGGTTCTACAGAAGGATATTGAAAGGTATATGGATGGAGCGTGTAAGCAACACGTAAGTCTTTAAGAAAATGGCAACAGAATTCTACAGAGAATAAAGAACAGTTGAAATTCCTGAACAAAAAAATGAGGAATGAGGGCTTAACACTCGCGCTGCATATACTGGGCAAGAGAGATAGGTGAAGGCAGAGAGCCATTTACCTGACGAACTTGTTAAATGAATGGTGGGACGGAGGATTAGAGTCTTAGCAAAGGGAGATAAACTGCTAAAAACCACACTATATAGGAAGCTGTGGAGAACCATGATTACCTATTACCTGAATGGGCACGGCACATAGAAGATATTTTCAGGTTACTGCAATAGATTTTAACAGAGATCACCATCCTCATCATGACCATCAGTATCAAAACGGCTGCAATCATCGCAGAGACCTAAGGGTAGAATAAAGAGAGAACATCTTCCAGAATGACCTGTTGGTAATGTCTTTCAGTATTTCCGGCATTGTCATGTCCGTCTATACTAATGTCTGACCAACTCTTGTGTCACCGTCCTCGCTTGCGTCCGCCTTCAATAGTGCCTTGCATGATGGCCTTGCATAGGCTGTTATGCCATGTGGCATTATGCTCTAACAGCTCTCTACCAACAGATTTGGGAGCAAAAGAAGTGGCCATAAGAGTGAATCCAATCACTGTTGATACCCCTACCATTGATGGGTAATCTCAAACAATGACAGAATTATAGAACAATAAGCCTGATCAGCCACCCCAATAAGATCACGCTCCGTATTATCTTCGACCGTCTGAACTCAAAGGCTGAAGGACTACTATCAGAAGATTAGATAGGTTTTAGTGCCAGATGGAACATAGCGAAACCAATCTTCAACTTTTTAGTTTCAATCGAGAATCATCTGCAAAACCAGTAGAACTTCTTGCACAAGTTCATTGACTTCAAGAAAGCATTTGATCGGGTATAGAACGTCCTCAGAGGAATCAACGGACTCATAGAAGGACTCATACAAGTCATCCAATCCCTCTATGACCATGCCACCCGCGGATTTCTGTTGAGTAAACAAGAGGGAGATTTCTTCCAGACGACTTTCGGCGTCAGACAGGGATGCCTTCTCTCTCCAGCATTCTTCAACCTTTTTCTGGAGATAATTATCCGGGAAACCCTCCACGAACACTTATCTATATCTATTGGTGATAGACATGTCTGCAACCTGTGTTTCGCAGACGATATTGGCCTTATAGCGGACAGTAACAGTGGGATGCAAGATCTGAACAACAAAGTCGTTGAAAGAGCCGACGCATATGGAACTCAACAAAATAATGGTGAATAACACAAGCAACACGAATGCCAGAGACACCATGAACAGCGAATCACTGGAGAAACTGTACTTAGGAGAAACACTGTCAAAAGATGTGGTACCTGCAATTTAGAAATCCCAAGAAGGATCGCCACAGAGAAAAACAATAAAAAGAGAATTTCATTGACAATATCAAGAAACATTATTTTAGAATGTTACAAAAAGGATGAGAAAAATCAAAATGTTAAGAAAAAAGAAAATTAGATCACTGGCAAAAAATATTTTATGAAGCTAATGCATTGCATATTTCCGTTACATCTGGTCTGATGCTTCTACAATGTATTTAGAAATTCTAGATAAAAATCCAAATAATCTACAATGTTATCGATCCAATCTGGTATCTCAGCTTCAATCACATTCCCACTGCCGTAATGTAGCTTCCCTGCGCCTTATCTATAAATATTTTCATGTTAATTCTCCTGATGAGCATTCCTCTTTGGCATCTAGAAATTTAATTTAAATGCAATATTAGATAGGTAGAAAAGTCTCATTTTACAGTTTAAATGTTTAGGTATAACCGGTTGTTCGCTGCTAATAGTTTCTTCCCTCACACTTCTCGCTTTTATAATTCAATTTCGACTTCTCTCTAGTCAACTTTCATCTTCCTGTATTTAAATGCAATGTTAATCGTTATCTTTTGTCTTTGAATTCGAATTCGACTCTCCGAACCGCAATCCATTACTCTACCGTGCTTCCTTAAAAAGACAACTGGGGGATATGCAGGAAATATTTTGATTAGAATTGCGTTTATTAAATTTTAAAACTTCGATGATGCCAAGACAAATATAATTATATTATTGTAAGTCCTTAAACAACGTGACTTTCAGCAGTTTGTTGAAACCACGAAGCATTAAGTTAATTAAATATTCCCAGAAGACAATGCCACTCAACACTTGCCAAATATGAATATTAAGAAAGTTTTCAAAGATATCAGATTAATGGAAAGAACTCCAATCTCTACAGGTCCATCTAATATATCTATTTCATCGATATACACGTATATGAGAATGGAAAACGATATTCACTGTTTGAAAGATTGATGAAGGTTATAGAATGTCTATGCAAGATATTAAAGTATTTATTTATTCAGATGTATGGAATATCGTGCAAATCAAGATCTCCTGTTTCTCATTTCAAACCACTATCAATTATATCACACACACACGTCCAATGAATATTTACTTTGTTTATTTAATAAGATATACACCATCGAAGCATGTTATTATGGATATATTTAATAAGAATTGACATTATTACTGACATTCCCTTGATATATTGATCATATAAATAAACATCCTCGGTCTTTTGAACAAGAGTAGAGCTTTACCCCTTATTTCTTATTTAGAATTGTGTTTGCTGTTCCTGTTAAAATCTAATTAAACGCTATACTTCTAACGTCTGCGTCTGAAATCTTAAACTTTATGTACTATTTTTCTTCTAAATAAGAGTAGATAGGTTCGCCTATCGTTCGGTACACACACCTCACAACTCTTTTGAACAGGAGTACAGGTTTATCCTTTGTTCCTGGTTTAAGATTGTGTTTCCAGTTCCTTCTAAAGTCTTTATTTTTTTCACGCCCAGTAGCACATTGCGTCATAGTATTATTACTGTCTTGCTTGGGGTGAAGTGATATCCCCCCACCTAAAAAAAAAATGCATCTGTAAACAACATTGACTACTAGTAATTTTACTATAGAAACTTTGACTAGAAAATGACAGTATAATGGAATTAGGGTGACAAGCAAGTATTTTCCTCGGAGTTACATTTATCCGTTTAATTATTGGATAAAAAGATTTACTTATATTAGTCGATATTTTGGTGCATCTCTTAAGCGTTTTTCTGTATTCATCAAAGCTTTGTTTGTCATTGCAAGAAACACGGAAACAATCGCCAATGCTTTAAAAAATTGTAAAAGTTTAAGAGATATCAAATTGATTACAATGAATATATGCGCTAGGAAGTTATATTTGATAAAAAATAGGGATAAATGAACGCAGTGAATTGAATAAAGACGAAAACAGGGAAAATAGCAGAAAGTCTTAATAAGGAACGAATTAAAAGAGTGTGAAGAAGCTAGATGATGAATTAGAAAATACGAAGGAAAAAGATG